TAACAATTTCTATGCATTGATTTTGAAATGCAATCGTATCTCTTTCTTTTGGCATATGAGAAATAGTCACAATTAAATGAACTAATTGAATAAAACAATCTGCCATTGTACAATCTGCTCTTTCTAATCGCAAAATTGTAGCTCTAATTGGAGCAAAAATTTTGGATATTTGTTCCACGTCATGAAAGAATCCTCGAGACTTTAAAATTATTTATACATCTTAGTTGGTAATAGCATCAGAATGATCATTTAAAACCTTAAAATTATTCAAAATATTAGTGTTAGCACTATAGTATTTTATATAAGAATGTGTGCTACAAAACAAAAAAAATTTACACTTTTAACATTCATAAAATCAATTATGCTAATTAATAAATTAAAAATCATCTTTTCTAATACAAGTTTAAGTCTAAACACAAAATTAACTATTTCATATGCAGATGTCCATCTAGTTTCTATAAAAAGCTTTAATCCACTTTTGCTAATATTCAATTCATCTATATATCGTTTTAGATAACTTTCAGCTAATTGACTAGTTTTAAAAAAGCAGCATATCTTATTGCAATATTTTAAAATACATATTGGTAATTTACATTTTAAAATATTATGACTAATAAGATTAACAAAATGAACAATACAACAAAGATTGATAATAGAAGGATATTTTTGATTAATCTGTCTATGTGCAGCAGCAATAGCTGAGACATTATTAGAAATTACTCCAATAAATTTTTTAGGTTCAATCTTAATTAGAATTTTTTCAATCTTATTAAAGAGTAAATCTGCCATATAACTAACATGAGACAAATTACGAAGAGCATATAAAAATTCCTTATAATCAGGGGCCATTATTAAAAAAATATAAATTGAAGCATCTTGAGGATTCATCTAACCATCTAATTCTAAATAAAATAATATAAATTTAATACAATTATATAATTATATAAGTTAAAGTATTGTATAAATATATTAAAGCTAATTACCAAGTATTAAGTTATCTGCAGTTTTTAAGTATTTCTCAGTCTTCCAATTAATTTTAATCACTTCTTCATTTAATAATGTATTAGAAAGATATTCACGAGTAGATGGTACATATAAAGATTATAAAGATTTAAGTATGTTGATAAACCATGGATTCTCAATTATAGAAAACAGAAGTCCACATATAGCAAAGGCTTTAATAATTGTACGATCAATTGCTTCCTTCTTAGGACTTGCCAAAAATTGATTTTCGTTTTTCCAATAATCATTAATACTTATTTTTTGTTTTTTTGATTGATTTTTTGAACTAGTTTTTTCTTTGATAGTTGTCTCTGAACCACAATTTCAAGATATTTGCTTCTTATTTCATCATCAAGGCTTTCATCTTCACATTCTTTTGCAAGATGCACCTCAAGTTCATTTGGATGCCCATGGCTAAATTGAGTATTGCAATATTTACATATTGCAAAAAAATGGCTGAGTGATTTTAATGGAGTTGCAGCAAAATGCTTCCAAACAGGATCTAGTGGTCTTTCTCCAGGATGTTTTGAACGTGTTTCATTTTTAGTTTCTCTTTCAGCTTCATATGAATAATGCGAAGTCATTGAAAATGAATCATATAAAGTCATTAAAATTACAGAAGATAAATTTTAAGAAGTCATTAAAGGTAGCTTATGCAAAATAAACAACTTTAAATAAAAAAAATTGTAAAAATTGAACTATTATTAGCAGATACTCATATATGCATATTTAAATTCATATGCTATTCGCACAGTATCAATATTAACTTATTATTATCTATATACTTAATTAGGAATTTGGCTATCTATTTAGTCTTCACAAAATAACCGAGTAAGTATTAGTTTTGAATAAAAAAGCATTTATTAGTTCTTAATATTTTCTCTTGCTTACAAATACAAAATTGACTCAATCTTATTACATCATTTTATTGATCACCACTTTAGCTTTTAAATTAATGAATATTATACTAATAATTCACATTATAAAATAAATATAGTCTGATCCAAAATATGGCTTCGATCTATTTTCAAATTGATCACATGTTACACGTGATTATTTGGTTGCTTCGAAACTATTCAAGCCAACAATATGTATTAAATAATTTTTTTCATTAATATGTTCTTTTCTCTATTGTTTTATATTAGCTTATCATTATATATATACTTAATTAGAGATTTGGCTATCCATTTGGTCTTCGCAATGTAACCAGGTAAGTATTAGTTTTGAAGAAAAGGTATTTATTAGTTTTTAATTTTTTCTCTTGCTTACAAATACAAAAATTAACTCAACTTTATTATATCATTTATTGATCACCACTTTAGCTTTTAAATTAATGAATATTATACTAATAATTCACTGCATAAAATAAATATAGTCTGATTCAAAATATGGCTTCGATCTATTTTTAAATTGATCACATATTATACGTAATTATTTGGTCGCTTTAAAAATATTAGTTAATGATATATATTAAATAATTTTTTTCTCATTAACACATTCTTTTCTCTACTGTTTTATATTAGCTTATCATTATATACATACTTAATTAGAGATTTGGCTATTCATTTAGTCTTTGCAAAATAATCGGGTAAATATTAATTTTGAAAAAAAAGCATTTATTGGTTCTTAATTTTTTCTCTTGCTTACAAATACAAAATTGACTCAACCTTATTACATCATTTATTGATTACCACTTTAGCTTTTAAATTAATGAATATTATACTAATAATTTATGTCATAAAATAAATATAGTCTGATCCAAAATCTGACTTCAATTTATTGTTAGACCTGAAACACGTAATCCACGAGTGATGTGGGATCTTTGCTGTATGACTCTAAGTCATGCTCTCTTGGCTATGTAGATCATATGCCTTAAATATGTGTACTGGCAGTATATACTGTATCTGCTGTATACTAAGTATCAGATTAATAATGGATATCAGTAGGATCAAGAGTATACTTAAAATAGTTAGTATAAACATTATTATCAGCATAATTAGTATAAACATTATAAGTAGTATAAGCGATATATCATGAATGCAGTGTATAATGTGTTCTATGTAAATAAAAGTATATAATAAAGGCCTCGAGCTCTCTGAAGAAGATATGCAGAGTTCACGCTTGTAATAAAGTTTGACTCTTATAATTATCTGGCCTTTGCTACCATGTAAAACCTATGATCATAAACATACTACTTGTCAAATCTAACCACCTCTAATCAACTAAGCTGTTTGTAGGTTACATGACATATCCATTTGAGAAGTGACTGAAACACCGACATCAGTTGTATGGTGTCACTATTTTCAAATTGATCACATATTATATATGATAATTTGGTCGCTTTAAAACTATTCAAGCTGACAATATATATTAAATAATTTTTTTCTCATTAATACATTTTTTTCTTTATTGTTTTTAGTATCCTATTTAATACCCACACTAAATACATTATATACTGGCAATACACGTATGTATACATTAATTATATATGTATTTTAATATCAATATGGGAACTTTTGATAAATGTACAATGAAAAATTCTTAAAAATAAATCTAAGATATCTGAATATAAGAAGTTATAGATATACACTATTGAATATGTCT